GAGTATTTAATTTATCACAATATAAGGATCTAGCAGTTAATGCAAATAATATGAAAAAGAGTGAACAGATAATAAATACAAAACTCCAGTTGTTTTAAAATCCACATTCAATTATAATAAAGGATCAGATTTATATCAGACATGCACAACATTAAAATCTTTTTTTGCAAAAATTAATCGACAAATAAGAAAGACTAGGTTTATAGTCGTTTTAATGAAGATGTCTAAAATCACAATAAGAAATTGTTTATTTTATTGCAAGAAAATCTAATTTACTTTTTCATTTTTCTTTTTTACTCCTGCTTTTTGTTTCTTTTCAGAAGAAACAGGTGATAAAATACGAGATCGTTTATTATTTTGTTGTTGATTTTCATCATTTGATATACGTGTTCTCAATACATTTGATACGTCTCCGCCAGTACTAAAGTTTTCCAATAGAAACTCAATTTTTATTCGATTTTTCAATATATTTTACCTAATTGACTCAGTTGAACAATCATAATTTGATTCTTTTAATTTTCTGGAATTTTCATCTTCTAAAAATAAATTATTTAAGCTATATAAATCAATAATAGTTACTTGTAGATTCTTGTTCATTTTGATCTATTAAAATACAAATTATTTTCTTTTATAATAAGACTGTCATTAAATTATCAAGTGTTAGAAATGCAAAACTAAAGTAAAACTTTTTTTTTTTACATATGGTTAGACAGGCGTAACGAAGTGATCAACAATATTAGATACTGTAAAGGTGAAGAACTCCAAGTTTTGAACAAACATTTTGTAATGCTATTTACGTAGGATTTTTTTCACCAAGACATACAACTAACTTTCGTGTCTCATTGAAACTGTCAGAGATTTTACTTGAACTTCATGCGAAAAAGAGTCTTTTGTGAACTTGTATTTGACTGTTTTTCCTAAATTTACCATCCTCATCCTCAAAAGAAATATATTCGAAATCAATACAGAAAACTGAGTTTACATAAGTGTTTCGAATTATTCTGGAAACTTATTTTTCTCTGGTTCTCCCTCAGGATTAAGTTAAAAAGACTATTTTCTTAAAATGTTGTTGGTAGTCAATACTCATCTTTCTTATGGAAGTCTACAAACATATTGATATATGTGCACCTTTATTTGCATCGTGAGTAACATTTTGAACAAATTAACTTTTCAATCTAACTTCGTGCGGGAGACATTTTTTGAAGAAAAATAAATGTTTGCAGAATATTTATGTCAAGTCAGCTTTCTGTTCTGATTCAGAACATATGTTCATGTTGAGTGCAAGAGTGATAAACTTCAGAAAATCAACCAAATATAGGTGCACAAAAGACTCATTCTCGCATGAATTGCAAAAAATATGTGTTTTTCTCAAGTCCAGAATAAAAATATTTAAAAAAAAATTGGTCTATCTTTTTCAAGTAAAATTTCTGGTGATTTAAATGGGATATGAAATATTTCTTTGTGAAAAAAAAACTACGTAGATAGGTTTACAAAATTTTGATTCAAAACTTGTAGTTTCACACCTTTCGGATATCTGATTTATAACCATAATATGTCTGAATAACCTCATAAATAACATTCCTTGACTCAGTTTGTTACGCTAAGTCTACAATAAACAGTTTTGAAATTTGTCAACTATCAAAAATGATCTCATTTTCAGAAAAAGTAGATCAACGAAAAAAGATACCATTCTCTTTCCTGAAAATTCATTGCAATACAATACAAACATATATTCTTGATCAGCTTATCACGCCTGTCTAACTATATTTAAAATTCTATTTTAATTTTCCATTTCTGACATCTTACTGTTATCTATTTGTCCATCATTGGGTATGGAATCAAGTAGGAGTCTAAATAATAATTAAACAGATAAAAAAATTATACAATAAATTCTTACTCTTTATGAAACTGAACTCGTTCAAGTCGAACAATTACTGATGGATCAGATGCCGCACAATTATCTTTTGCACTATCTAAATATAATCATAAATAGTTTTATTATATTAAAAAACAAATAAAACCAATTCATACTCGTTTCTTTTTTCACTAGAGAAAAATCTTTTGATAAATTTGAATCAATTTTTTCAATATCAAATTCTGTTACATCTAATTCTGTTTCGCTTTTAATAATAACTTTAACAAAAAAAAAAAGACAACGTAGATATAAACAAAATTTTTTCTTTATTCATAATATTTCTACCTTTGTCTTGTTGAAAAATTGCAATAGCTTTTTGAATTTTTTCTAAAACAGGGCGAATTTTTTCAATAGGAGCAATTGATGATGTATTATGTAATAATAATGTTGATGCTTGATGAACAAGTTCTCTATATGATTGTATATGTTGTTCAAATATTTTTTGATAAAGTGTTAAACAATTTTGAAGTTCATTAAGAATAGTATCATTTTGTTTTCTTTCTTCTTCATAATGAACATTATGAGCATTTAAATGAAATAAACATAATAAACGATCACAATGTATTGAACATCGAAATAATCGTACTAACTCATGACTAGATGACGATTGTGAACATGCTGAATCTTCACAATGTCCCAGAGCAGATATCATTTTTATCTAAAAAAACTAATATATATTTATCTTTTTTTTTTTTTATTCTTTCATCGGAAAAATAAAAACAATAAATATCAATCTTTTCGTTTAATTTTAAATAAGAGAAGATTGCTTTTTTAAAGGTTTGCTTATCATTTTAAATAATCTAAATTGAATCATTCTTACATAATAGATTGTTCAATAAACTTGTCACTATTCGTATATGAATGTCAATAAGGAATAAAAAATTCGAAATTGTTATTCAAAAATTTAAGATGAAAACGCATAATGTTGTGAAATATGTTTATTAATCAGTAGTTCTATAATTTTTTGATGCATCTGAATGTAGATATTAAACCAATAAAGAATTTCACATAACAATCGATATCTCTTAAATGAATCATCTATCTGGTTCGATCAAGAATATCCGTCTTTTAATATATGGTTGATCGTTTTCATCTAATTAGAATAGGTCATTATTTGGACATTGTCAAATGGGTATCTCTTTATGAATAATGAAAGTTTGTCAATTTGAATGTTCACTTTTTGGAGGTAATTAGATTGTAAGCGACATCTAGATAAATCTATTTCATTTGGTTCATTTGGCTCATCTTTGTCATTTTGAGAATATAGATAGAAGATAAAAATCAATGAACCATGACCGATGACATATAAGAACAAAAGAAGAAGAAACAATAATTGTTTTCATATTATTTGATAGTTGTTAAATGAATTTTCTATGAAAGATTACATTTCAATTTTATTAGAAATTCATTTAAAGAAAATTCTAGAGAATATATTATTCTGATCATAGTATTAACTGCATGCTGACATAAGCCTTTGAATACAAAATTATCCATATTATTCATCAGCAAATACAGATTTATGAATAATGATCGAGTGCGATTTCTCGGTTAATTCAGACAGTACTCGATGCGACAGATTTCTTTTTTTTTCTTTCTTTTGAGAAGCTGTTGCAATGTAATGAATGTCTCTGTACACAAATTCATGCTATTACTAAAAAGTGAAATGTAATTGTAATTATTATGAAATCGTAAAGCAAGTTGAAGTATTTGTTCTTAAAATTAGCATATATCGTCAGAATTGAGAAGCTTTAGCAGTTATTTTTATATATATTAAAAACTCAATTTTGGATTTTGTTAGAATACAATTATTATGAAGTCTCTTCATTGAAATATTCTTCCATTTATCTACATATTGAAAGAATAACAAGTTCTTGAGTGAAATAGCAAATTACAATCATTATCAATATTTTTCATACAAGAACAGTGGTGTAATCAGGATTTTTAGATCAATAGACAAACCTTCCTTGTGTCGAAAAAACACGATAGGCCAGAACTTTTTTGACCCATCGAAGTACGAATAACGTAAAAAAAAATACAAGAATGAAGTTACTTCATCAATACACTAAAAGAAATCAGGTGTTTTTATTAACAAAAAAAGATGATATGATACCCTTTTAATCAAATGTACATGAAACTCAGATTCTAAGTCTAAATCAAATGTGTTCAAGTCTATTTTAATGTTTTTTTCTGTGAAGAAAAATTACCACTGAATAAACTATTAGTATTAGGTCGCTTTTCATTCGACATACAGTAGTATTAGTGTGTTTTAAAGCAGAACCACATAATTACAAATACACAATTGTATATATGTATACTTGTTCTTTTCTTTTTTTTTTCTTTTGTCTCTGCTTATAATATACTATCATGGAAGCAGAAACAAGGTGATCAACTGGACAAGCTAGGCTATAGTTCATTTTGCTCCATACCAGTATTATAAGAAGAGACGAAAGAAAAAATATATTTACGATTGTGAACAAGTAAAATTTCAATGAGCGAAGGCTTAGTAGTAAAATTTTCAATGGACAATTGTCCATTTGTCAACCCCTGGTTACGCCACTTTACAAGAAAGGCTTGTATGAAAGTAGTATTTTTTCATTGTATCAGTACTGTTTCGCATAATAGAAAAAAAGTAATCATGATAGAAAAAATAATAAATGATCAGACATACTACTAAGAGGTAAAAGAAAATGCACAATGAAAATATGGACAAAGAGACATACTTGTAATGAAGCCCATGGATATTTACATTTAATAATTAGTTTTTGCAACAAAAAAGGAATCCAAAATTTACTATAGAATTGTTTTGGATTTAAATAAGTTGTTATATCAGTCTATGTAAGTCCTACAATATTAAATTGACGTTTGATTCAAGCATTTTTTTTGCTGGAGTCAGATGAATTTGTAAAAGTTCTCTCGAATAATTAAGCAATGTATCAACATTTGAGTTTTAAAATGTAAGAGCCAAGTCAACAGCTCTGATTTTTAACAAATAGAATTGTGATATTAAATTTCTCTCGAGTGGATTTTGTATTTTAATGAATAAAGTGAGTTAATTTAGAAAAACAAAACTTATAAATATCTAAAACTACTGATTATGTTCAATGTCATTTAATGGATTTGTATTCAATGTAAGTGTGAAATCTTCATTTAGTTGATCATCAATATTATTTGATGAAATAAAATCAGATTGATTATTATGAATATATGGTTGTGTTTGTTCTGTTGTAGAATTATATTTGACAATAATTTTCATTATTTTATTTGATGTTTGTTCTTGATTTATATCATCATCAGGACTATTATCATTCATATGTGTTAATTGTTGATATGAATCAGCTGTAAATATTGGTAATCTTTGATGACGACGACGACGACGACAAAAAGAAAATTTATTGAAAATATTTATTATTAATAATCGTCGTTTATATGCTGAAAGTATATAAATACATCCTAAACCAACTATAAAACATATAATAATGAATATTAAAGATAGATACGATAAATTATGATGCTTATTATGAATTAATTGTGAATTTTGTTGACACATTCCCTTCGGAATATAAATATTTATTTCTCCTTGCATTTGATGACAATTATGAATTTCTTTATTAAATGAACATTTATTTTCTTCATGTTCTATTTCATCAAGAGACATATTAAAATAACATAATGGTGTAATCTCTTTCAAAATTAATGGATTAAGTGTATGACGAAGACGACGATATAAATAAAAAACTGAACATGAACATAGATTATTTGGTAAAAGTTTAATTGGTATATGTGCTGGTATATCAATAATTCGACATAAATCATTATCATTTAATATTCGATCAAGAATTTCTAAATGTTCTAATGTTATTGATTGATTAAAACGAAAATAAAAATCTGTTGAATTCATTATTTGAAATAATATTTTACCACCTTGACCTTATTAATCACGTAGAAAAAAAAAAAGTAAATTTTTAATGAAAATGAAATATTCCAAAAAAAGAATTACCTTCATTAATATTAACAAAAGCATTTGTTGCCATTTGTAATGTTCCATATGAATGTTGAAAACCAATACGCATTATACTTGAACGCCATATATCAATATTTTGAATAGCATTATCTTCAAATATTAAATTTTTTCCATATTTTATCCAAATATCAAGTAATGATTGATCTTCTTGGTGGAAATAATTTAATGATTGATGAGTAAAATAAACATCTAAAGAATTTGTTATTATAATTGATAATTTTGATTGTGCACGTTGACTTATATTAATAAATGTATTTGGTGTAAAAAGAATATTTTGTCCATAATTTATTTCAAATTGAAATGTTGAATTTATATCTTGTTTTATTTGACTAAATGTTTCAGCAGGTAAACATAAATCATTTGTTATATTATATATTGAAAATATTATTGAAGATTTTACTAAGAATTGAAAAAGAAAATTTCCTCTTTTTTTTTTAATGACAAAGAAAAAGTAATAAGAGTTTACATTGAGTAATTGTATGGAATAAAGTTTTTTCGATATTTATATTTTGAAAATTTGAAAATGTTAAATAAAATTGGGATTGATCAAGTTGATGAAGATCAAAAAAAGATGTATGATCAAGTATTGCGTATTGAAAACGATCAAAATGTATTCGTAATTTACTTGAATGTTCTTGTGTTATATGATCAAAACTATGTTCATTTAATAAAACTCGAACAAAATTTGAAAAATAGTATTCCATTTTTGCATAAGACGGTAATAAAATCGAACCTAAAAGTTTTAAAATAATCATTTTAAAATGTAGAATTACAACCAATTTACCTGCATTTGATTGAAATTCTAGTGTATCTTTCAAACAAAGTATTGAAAAACGAAATTCGCTTTCATAACTATATTTAATACCATCAAATGCATACTGTTCTACTGTTAATAATGATGATGTTACATTGAATATCTCAATATCAATTTTAGATTTTGGTTGCATTGATAGTTCATCAAATATTCTTGTTGGTATTCTTGGTGATGCATATTCAGATATTTTAATTGACAAAGTTCGCTCTTGATCAATATCAATTTTCGAAAATGTATTTGAGGATATACCAGTTAATTGAGCAAATTGTATCGTAAATGTTTTCGTACTATCATAATCAAATAAGTCATAGTAACGAAATGACTCTGATGGTAGTATATTAACATTTTCATCAAAAAATATTGTATTATAACGATAACATGTACGACATTTATTAGGTAATGATGAACATTGAATATATCCATGTGTTAAACTACATGTACATCGATGATATTGAAGATCTTCATCATTTGGACAAAACGCGTGAGTTTTATTAATAGAACTAAACAATAAACACCATGACCACCAAGTTATGAATAAGAACAGCATGTTCATATATGTGTGTGTCCGTCTGTCTGTCTGTCTACTTGTATGTTGAAATATATATATATACGGGTGAACAGCTCAAGTGTTGGATACGTATGTGTATGAAATAGAAGCGGTCAATTTTTTACCACACATTCTCTTTGTGAGATACAGAATGAACGAAGAAAAAGAGGTAAAGAAAGAGAATAAAGAATTGAATTGATTGTACTTTGAATTTTTTTCTACTGTTTGCTGCTTGATCAATTGTGTACGATAACATCTGATTTGCGATCTAATGTCCATTAACAAACTGATGCCCTTCATACAGACAAAATGAAGCACATCTTTCTTTGCTTGTGCTTATGAACAATAGAAATTTTCATGTCTTTATCACAGCTATAGGAAAATAATTATTTTTATTTGTAAAGCAAAATGTATAAAACGTATGGCTCAATCCAACTAGCCATATGAAATCTATATTTTTTTCGTTGTTAAATGACTATGATTTCGTTCCTATCACTTTAATTTGAATAAATATGAAACTGAACGTCGTTATTTTTCCTTTTATTTCATGAAGAAATAAAATGTTGAGCAAATAACTTGTCTGTTAAGTTTTTGAACTGTTTACTGTCTTCAATCAAGCGCTGAGTGGTGCATAAATTGTCAAATCATTCAAGTGGAAAAGTCTCACGACGTAGTACAAATATATGTGTAACTTTTATAAATATATATGTGCGAGTAGAGATACAAGACTTTCTAAAGAAAACAAGATGGGAGGCATAGAAAATAGAAGAAAATCAGGTATGTAACGTTGTGAAAAACTCTGAAAAAATCATGCTTGCTTTGTATAGGATTAGACATTAATAACATACAAAAGTCGTCCGATACAATTTTATCAGAGAAGATGGTTTTAGAAGTGGCATATAAAATTGTACAAAATCGCATACAGTTTCATAAGATCTTGCATGATCATAAAAGATCATACAGTAAGTTTCTATATGATCTCATAAGAATTCTACAAGATCTTGTGTTAAGATTGTTTAACTTCGGCAGTTCACTGCTAATTCCAAGTTTGCGCCAATGACATAAAGGTTAACTATGCCAATAGAATTTTTGATGCTTATCAAATATTACATCTTTATAAATTATGATATTATATCACAATATTCAACTTGAGAAAAACAAATCATAATGTGAAATATAATAAGGTTGATAAATAAATTAAAATTTTTGTAGTCAGTTTAAAATCAATTATTTATGTTTATTGCATTTAATATAAATTTATTATTTCTCATGAAAAATTATCACTTGTTTCATGGTTAAAATGTGCTTTTTTTCTTGCTTTGTCGATATGCAATTCGAAGGAACTAATCAAATAATCTAGAGATTTCAAAATCTAATGGCAATCAAATTTTTTATTATATTTTTTTATTTTCGACTGTTATTCATTATTATTCCATAATTTATTCTATTTTCTTTTTTTTCAAATAAAATTACGAAATACTAATGAGTTAAACAATCATTTTAATACATATACAATTCAAGAGAGAAAAAGAAAAGCAAGTTATTTTGAATAGTAGTCAAGTGCGATTATCAATGAATACTGTATAAATTTATAAATGTTTTTAGTTTTCTGAAATACGAGAGAAAAGATAATTTTGTCTGAAATTTATTTGTTTGGTTTTGTTTCATTAATAATTAATACTGAAAAATAAAAGAAAATATTTTAAAGATAATGAAGGAAAAAGAGAACTTCTAACCATTTTGAAAAATTTTCTAAAAATTTGTTCAAGATTAACTCGTCTAGTGGATTTTCTTTGAAGAATAAAATCAAGACGTTTTGCACTTTTTTGATTTGGTTTGTTATGAACATGAACATATTGAGTTTGGATTTCATAACCTGGACTTATAACTTGAATTGCATACGTACCATCAATAAGTAAACGATAATAATCACCTTCTATGTCTATTTATCAGTAAAACAAAGAGAAAAATTTCATTTCTGATTGTTAAAAAATTTCTTACTTGATGTAACATCATGATCGATATATTCCCAATCGTTATTAATCAATCGATTGACTTTAATAGTTGCATCATAAATCATATCATCTTCTTCATTTAGAATAAGTCCTTTAATACCCAAATGAGTCTAAAGTTAAGAATTCAAAAATACAAAACAAATATGTATATTCTTCGTCTAGTTTTTACCTGCCACATAAAATTTATTAGTGATTTTTTGTTATCATTCCACAGTGAAGGTAATTCTTTGCCTGGTGGAAATTTTTTGCAACCAAGTTCAAATGTTAATTCAAAACAATTACTTGCTAAATAATTAAAATCTTGCATTCCACCACATACTGGGTACCTTAACAAGAAAACAATCAAAAAATCTATTGAAACTAGGAATGTGCCGTTCCAGTTTATTGATCATTGGAGCTCATCGGATCCGAATGCTATCGAACTGTATTCAGGTACTGTCATTGAAGTTTGCTAATCAGAATGGAATAGCAGCTCCGATGATACGATATACTTTCTTCCTGTTTTTCATATGCGGTGGCTAGCGCAGCCACCACATTTCTTAGACAAATCATCTGAGAAATGTATAGTATAGGTTCTATGGAGTCCAAAGTTTTGGGACCTGTTTAAAGAAAAGTCTTCAGATCCGGACTTGATCCTGTCCGGATCTGACACCAACTTGATGGGCTCTCCTAACTATCGACTCATGAGGAAGCGCCTCCAATTAATACCCTACGTCCGAACTCCTATTTAGCTAATTGTTACGGTTCATGATACATATAAGAGTTCTAAAAGTATTTGTATCAGTACTGTTTTCTTGTCGAGACATGATTATTTTACTGACTCATCAGTCTATTTCCAGATGCTACAAAATAAATTGGATCAAGGAATTTTAGCCTAAACTTTTCAGCAGAAACAGGTCTCATAATCCTTATAATATTCTTTAAGTTTTGAACAAAGGCAAATGATGTTTGTTATTTTGACACAGAAACACACGGTTTTAATGAAACTTTCAGGATATAATAAAGTCCATGAGATCTACTTGCAGGTGAAATTGCACAGTAAAGTTCTTTGATTCGATTTTTTTGAAAATATCCTACAATTGGCAGAAAATTCAGTAAAACGCTCATAACCCAAGAAGAAAATGGTGATGGCACATATCATTTTTGAATTTTATCTGTGCTATGAACCCTAAAAATCAGACAACTATGAGCTCGAACGCAGGTCATCAGTTGGAAGAGTTCCTCCGTCAGTATAATTAGTGCACACTGACTTCAATGTTCACTAAAGTTTTTGAAACAAACTGCTTGAAAAAGGACATATTTTAATAGAATTGGCGTCTCAATGTTGCAGTGAACGCAGGTGCAATTTCAACATGTGTCGGTGGCATACTGTTCAGTATTTACACAAATATTGTACATCTCTAACGTAAACTAAATTAAATCTAATTTATTTACCATGCTGCACCATTTGTAATTCCTTCAGGAAAAACGTCAGTGTCACAAGACTTTTGCTGTGATTGCATTGTTTTATGAGTAGATGAATATGATTCTGCTAATAGTCTAATATATTCAAAACAAATGTCAATTAAAAATCAGAATTAGAGATTTACTGAAATAATGGATCATCGGGTGATGATGAATACATTCGTCGATGATTCTCTGAATCATCATATGGATAATTGGCAACAAGTGCACCATTATGTAAATTAGCTGATAATACAAATGGTTTTTTCAAAATCCAAAAAGTAGCTGCTAATGTTTCAATTTGATACTAAAATAATAAAATGTTTTTGTTTTATTTATTGATTTTTATTTTACCGAATTATTTTGACAATCATTTCCTACTAGTAATGAAAGAAATGCTTCAATGTCAAGATGATTATTTCTATAATTAGCATTATGTTTATATTCATACATAAATTCATCTAAATTAGGAAAGTTTCTATTTAAATCAATATTATTTGCATTTGATCGACCAGCTATCCAATCTGTTGTACCAGATTCCTACGAGAGAAAAACAAAAGCAAAATTTTTATAAATTTTCATTTAAAATTTGACTATCTAACTTTTAACATTGTTGAAATATCTTTGAATTGTCCAGATTTGGTGTGATTCCATGCATATTGAACAGCAGCTTCCCAACCATCTATAAACAATTTATTTTTATAGAATTTATTTTTATAATTTATTTACCAGGATTCATTGATGGCAAAAGATGTATACGTGTATTTTCAATTAAATTTTTAATTTCTTCATTATCATTTCTATATTCTTGACAAAGATATTCAGCTAATCTCAATAACAATTCTCGACCAGTAACTTCATTTCCATGCATATTTCCAACATATTTAAATTCTGGTTCAAGTAATTCATGATATTTTGGATGATCAGAAAAAACAATAACACGTAATGGACGATTTTCAACAGATTTTAATGGTAAATCATATATATGGGTTATATCAGAACATCGCTGATGTATACGATCAAGTACAGCCAACATTTCATCTGTATTATGATGTTTTTCATTTTCGATTAACTCGTTGTAGTCTTGACAAGAAGTAAGTACAATAAGAAATGTGATGAGAATAAAATTTCGAAAATAGATTGACTGTTGAATCATTATTGACGATCTATAGAAATAAAACCAAGCATAATTAATATTTTATGTTTTTTTCTCGGCCCTAAAAAAATAATAACAAGAAAAAAAGATTGACAACAATCTGAAAAAAGAAGAAGAAAATATTCTTCTTATCTCTATGAACAGCGAAGCGAAGGTTTCTCATATCTGTTTTTTTTTCTTGCTCGTTTGCTATTTTCAATGATGCGACTCGATATTCGACCTACCCAAATAAGCGACATCATTGGTATAACACGAGAGAGAGAGAGAGAGAACGAAAGAAACAGAATGAAATTGTTTTTAACAACCCCTTTTCGCCCTGTTTATAATACAATCAGCTTACTAAGCTAGATGGTAAAACAAACTACCTGCATTCACTTAGCAGTAAGCAACCATATATACGTTTGAGATCCCACACAAACTGAAACAAAATAAACGTAAGCAACATAATTAGTAGTAATGAGTATGATTGGCTTACATGGTTAGCAACTGATTGTTAACACTTTTCCGAAGACTGAGGTGCAAAATAATTATATATTTACAGAAATATGATGTTTTACTGATCAATAAATGAACAGAATATCAAGTATCATTTCTGAATAATGTCATTGGATAAAAACTCTATCAAGTTTCTCATATATTGATACGAATTATGATTATGAAAAATGAAATGTAATGCTTACTAGTGTAATCAAGCGATTCTAACTCCCTTTCGTCCTGTATTAAAAATATAATTACACCATTACTAACGCTTCAAATAGAACTAAATACTTTTTTAGTTATCATGAGTTTAAAGAAAAATTTTAACATCATTATATTCACATATATCAATCCTATCGTTCTTTTGATACTTCACTGTATGTTAATTTTCATTATACTGAAACAGGCTTCATTTGCTCATTTTGATTAAAGTCTAAGTTTGAGGTGTCTGATTTTATCAATTAAGTTAGTCAACTTGTATTTCTTGTTCATTAGTTAAATCTTGTTTCTCGATCGAGTGTTTTGTTTTATTATGTTTCAGTTTCTCTGTGATTTTAACACGTTAGTGACAAATAGTTAATAATTCATCTAGCCAGATCTTTTCATGATAAAATTTGCTTAATTGAAAGAGTAGCTTCAGTCAGAAATATATTATATATGCGTGGCTGACTGATACCTAAGATACTATCGAGTCAGTTGGATTCATTATTGATACTCTCATCTGTTGCATCTTGTATCATTTAATAAGTAAAAAGAAAGTATTAAGTCAATTTTTTTGACACAAAAAAAACCTCTATTGGATTTCTATACTTGTTTTATCATAATGCAACCAGTTAAAATCCGTTTTTATTCGAAAATTAACAACAACAAAAAAAAATATAAAAGTATTTTGTGTATTGCCTTTTCATATGAAAACCGTTGAAAATAAAGATAATAAAAATTGATTGAAATGAATATTAAAAGTCATGTTGACTTGCATTCATCTAATATAATCAAGTTTAATACTTTATAAAATCATTTATATAAATAGAATATCTTTAAACGAAAATTTATAAAGTTGATTGCAACATTTGTTAAATTTTTATAGCTAGCAAAAAAGTTGATAACAAATTATGGACAAGTCCTTGAATAGGTAACGGTGTGTTTTTCTTGTGACAACAAATTTTTTCACTATGTTTGCTTGTATTTTCTAAACGATGAAAATCAAATTTCAATAAACGAAGAAATGATGTTTACTATAAAAACACTTAAATTATAAACCTTTTGATAATAAGGATCTTCTCGTCTCTTTAACTCATATCCACACGCACAACCACATCTACACTCTTAGAATCGAAATTTTGTGTTCTTTTTGAGTATTGGTCCAAAATTTCTGTGGGTCTTATGATTCAGGAATTATGAGCAGACTTTTTGGAGATTCGTATATTAACTTTGAACGAATTTCAGCGCGCCAAAATTCAAAGCAAATAGAAGCAAAAATTGTTTCAGATACTAAGAACGAAAGAGAAAACATTTCGCTATGAAATAGTGTGCTAATGATTAGTTTTCTGCTAACTATTTGTCAACAGTGAATATTGTTATGAGTAGCACTGTCCCAATTCAGACGATTTCTTTTAAATGCTATCGGAAATAGACTTACAAAGTGAACTCTGTCATTTTTGAATTATTTTTCTGAAACTCCTGATTCTTATGCCACTTTCTAAAGAACAATCTATTTTTTAATTCTATTCAAACAAATGATAATATAACATATTCAGTAAAGAAGTTCATTGTTTAAAATAAATCGTCGATTTTTTTTTGTCTGAACTTAATGCTCGTGCCTCTAATAAGTCGATTAACAAATCCGAAATGAGAAGTTCTAGAGAAATTTCGAAGCTACATTTGAATATATTACAAAACGTTGATTAAGTATACAATGGTGACAATGTTCTTCGGTTCACTGTTCATCATTCCATAGTAGCGTAAGGTACCTACAGTGCACCGATCTTATGTAGAACGCTGCACTAGTCTAAATATATACACATTAGAATAATGGTGAATAGATGATAAAACTACAGTGAACTTTGATTCTTTTCATTTTTTCTTTTGGGTAAAGGCCTATTTCAAAAGAATATATGAATTTTATCAAACATTACCAAGCCTTGAGAGTCAAATCTTTCTAGAGCGCGAAAAAAAAAACTCGAGGATCTCGATAATCTTCAATGGATGGAAGCTCTTAGGTCCCGAAAACCATCAACATATGTTGATAAAATTCAGCTATTCTCTGGAAATCGTCTCCCTGACCGAAACCAATTCAAGATCATTATAGGTTTATCACGTGTTTGCTGTATTCACGGATAGTCTATACGTAGATGTTTAGATCAGTGCAAAGCTGTACGTAAGATTGGTGCACCGTGATCATTGCATCCATAATCTTGAATCTAATATGATGTTTTCAAATTCCTGCAGATTCCTTCAAGAGACTGACAAATGAATGAATAATTTGTTAAATCACTTTTCGATTACCCCACTAATATACTTGCACTTTAAAAAGAAAAGAACTTGAAAAAAGTTTCAGAGTTATGCTAAATAAATCTCCTGACTTTATATTAATGTACTGAATATGTACATTCACCTACTTATTTTAACCAGAGAATCATAAATAATTCCAATAAATATTGAATCCAAGTACGGATATAAATCACATTCAAATATTCAAAAAAATATTTTACAAAAATCTGCAATTAAAAAAATGTTCTCATTCCAAAGAATTTTTATGATTCTATGTAGCATTTAATTCTAACTGTCAAGGCATTCTCAAGATATGTGAAGATTCAACAGCCATATATTGACAGACATGATTACAAGAAGTTTTAATCCTTTCAGGATGGGATTCATTTTTGCGAAACAACATAATGAAATAGGAAATTAGTGAAAACGAATTAATCGTCATTTCTAATCAATCATATTCATCTTTCGAATACCGGCACAGTGCATATGTATGTCGTTAGTACCAAATGATAAAGCGATATCAGTTAGATCTACGATAAATAGGACGTATCAATAGATTTGAACTGTTTCGAGAAATAAAACGCTTATATGCGTTACCTGTTCTGGAAGGATTAAATCACAGTTGTCATTTGAATGGGTTTAGGAAATAAACATATTATTGAATCTAATTTCGTACTGTTAGAAAAACACGATTCTATTTAAATTGATTTTAGGTTTTTAAGTATTAGTTATATTTATTCTAGGATTAAGTAATTCATATGTAAATTGTTCACAAATTCTATAATTACGCAATGGATTCGATATTTCATTTCATTAAAGCGTAAACAAATTATATTAATTTTGTATTTAAGAAAAACTAAAATACAAAACGAACAAAATTAAATAAAGAAACATAATAATTCAACTATTTGCATTTTGATACGTGTTTACAAAAAAAAAAGAGCGAAATTACAATAAAAGCTTTAACAGAAATTTTTCTTGTTTTAATATAAAAAATTATGCATATCTATGCAAATACTTTGATTTTGAAGTGTACAAAACAATATTTATCAAGTATTTTCCTATGTCAATTGTCGAATTAACAAAATTGAAAACTATTTTACACTATATGCACTCGAGATAATTTCTTCCATTTAATTATATCTTTACATTTAATTGAAGTAATCCAGATGATAACTACTCAAGTGAATCAATCATTTTATCCGATATGTTTGATAAATTATCTTTTGTATGAAATCGAAGAATCTAAGCTTTTCTAAAATACCATACCACACAAGAATATGCATCATTCTATATTTTTGTATTCCTCGTTACAACTTTATATTCTACTGAAAATACATTTATCAATGATCATCATTTTTTATGAATATATTTCAAATTTATTAAAACTTAAATAGATCTCAAAATCGCGTGTATCTTAATTTATGTTAACTCGCTTGATTTTTCCTCAGCTTGCAAGAAATGAGCTTAGTCTACTGATAAAAAAGAAAACGGAATAAAAAAAAATTAAACATTATTATACACACAAAGAGAGTGAGAGAGAATGCAGTTATATAGTTTTATGAAATGCATGACATTTACGATATCACATGAAATGTATTATGATAATTATTCACTCAAAATAAGCATCATGAATTCGAGCTATTTCGCGCAAAATTGATGATTGAATAAGAAAACCTCGAGAATTATTCGTCACATCTTTCCATATTGCCATACCCTAAATAGATATATTTTACAAATAACGGTTTTCTTTTTGGATTAATAATAATAAACATACATCTGTACGCAAATTAGGAAAGGGCGTGTCTGAATCATAATGAAAATTCCATATTTCTGCTTCTACCCAAGCATTATCTGTATTGCGTAGATCATCAATATATCCTAAAAAAAATTAATAATAATAATAATAATAATAAATAAACTAAAAAAACTAAAACGGAAAATTCTTTAATTAACCTCGATAAACCATACGGGAGTCAAAGCCAGTTGGTTCAGCAGTACTGAACGGCAAACGAGCAAATGATTGAAAATAC